ATGAGGCTTTGGGGGGACATCCAGACACAAACCATAACATTGGTTTTCCACATAAATGTACTTTTAAGACAATAATGAAACAATCATGCGAGCTTCCAGTATTTACTTATTGTAAATAAGTATTTACCAATTTACTTATTGTAAATTAATAAATTAGCTTATTTTCAGAAGCAATTGCCTTAATGTTTCTTATTGGAGCAGTGTGGTTTGTGAACCCCTAGTTTAAAATCATATTTTTTCTGACGTATCTCAAGCTACTAATATTGTATGTGATAATGTGTGAATTCTATCCTTCATTGCTTTTTTCAGTACCAGGATTTGAACTCATGGCTTTGCCCCTGCCTGGGCAAGCACTTATGCCACTAAGCTAAGCCCCTGGCCCTCTATCCTTCATTCTTAAGTTACTTGAGATAGAGATACCTTGAGAATTTTTTAAAAAATATATTGAATCAAGTAACTATCAATCATTGCTGATGGGAGTGAAAAACAGTACAGCCACTTTAGAAGACAGTTTGGCAGTTTTTTACAAAACTAAATATACTCTTTACCATGCAGTCCTACAGGTGCATTCCTTAGTATTTGCCCAAAAGAATTGAAAACTTACATTTATACATAAAGAGGCACACAATGTTTATGGCAGCTTCATTCATAATTGCTTAAACTTGGAAGTAAACAAGATGTTCTTTAGTAGGTGAAACTGTGGTACATACAGACAATAGGATATTCAGCACTTAAAGGAAATAAGTAAAGGCAATATGAAAAGAATTTAAGTGCATATTACTAAGATAAATAGACTAATCTGAAAAAATTTCATGCAGTGTTAGTCTAATGATACTGCATTATGGTAACTGCAAATCTTTGGAAGTGGCCTTATGTTAAGGGTTACCAGTGCTAAGTGAGGAGGTAGGGATGAATAGATGGAGCGAAGAGAATTTTAGGGAATGAAACTATTGTGGATGAAATACAGTAGAGTCTCCATATCCTTATAATTTGTCAGAACTCAATGAAATGTACAACATCCAATCATGAAATTTATTGTAAACTATAGACTTTGAGTGATAATGATGTATTAATGCAGGTTAATTAATTATTACAAATGTTCCAACCTGGCACAGGATAAGGCTTTATATATGTGGGATCAGGACACTTAGGGAAAACCTCCATAGATTCCACTCAATTATACGATAGACCTAAACCAGTTCTAAAAATTAAGAACTATTAAAAATGTATTGAATGTTGCTCATCATTTTTACTTGTAGGAGCTTTAAAATAAGTTTATATTAAGGTCAGTAATCATGTGAGATATTCAGATAAAATATGACTTGAGGACTTAATGTTGATATTATATGTGTTAAGTAAATTACTGTTATAATTATCATCTACTTGTTTTTATAGTTGATGGGCAGAGAAAAAAGACACATATGATTATAAACTGTTTAACACACTTTGAAGAGTCATCATTCCTGTCAGTCTTGAAGAAACAAGTTATATACAAGTCATTGTTACAATACAAAGAACCAATGAGTCAAAGAGTTGTTTATTTTAAAAATTAAATAAAATAGACAAAGCCTTATTCAACCTAAGGAAAGAAAAGACTACGATTCATGCACTTAGGAATGAAAAGAGTGAAATCACAGTAGATCCTGTGTAAATCCGTAAGATCATCAATATCTTCTTTGAGAATCTATACTTTAATAAGATGGAAAACTCAGAAGATGTAAGCAAATTCCTAGATACATATGAATTACCAAAGCTGAATTAGAAAGTTATAAAAATTATAAATAACCCAGTATCAGTCAACAAAATTGAAAATGTAATTTAAAAACTACCAACAAACAAAAGAACAGGTCCTGTGGATTTACTGCTGTACTCAAGAAATTTAGATGCCACTATTAATGTCACTACTCTTCAAACAATTTAATGAACTTGTAAAGGATGCAATACTCTGAAACTCATTCCTGGACTGAAACATTATTCTTATGCAAAACTAGAGGATGATCCAACAAAAAAAGAAAACTACAGGGCAATCTTCCTAATGAACATATATTGAAAAATCCACAGAAACATACTGGCAAACAGAATACAGCAAATCACCAAAAGATTATTCACCGTGACCAAGTAGAATTTACCCCAAGGATGCAGGGATGGTTCAACATACTATTCAAACCAATAAATATAATACACTGTATCAACAGAAACAAAGATAAGATTACGTGATTGCCTCAACAGATATAGAAAAACTTTTGACAAAGTCCAACACCCATTCACAATAAAAATCTACATAAAATTGGAATAGGCATCTTTATCTCAATTTCATAAAATCCACCTGTAACAAACCAATAGCCAACATCATACTAAGTGGACAAAACCTGAAAACTTTCACTCTAGAATCAGGAACAAGGCAAAGATGTCCACTATCACCACTGCTGCTCAATATAGTTCTGGAAACATTAGCCAGGGAAATTAGATGAGAGAAAGAAATAAGAGGAATAAGGATAAGAAAGGAGGAAATTAAGTTACCATTATTTGTGGATGACATGCTTCTTGACATAGAAGACCTCGAAAACTGCACTAAACACCCCCAGATTTAATAACCAAATTCAATTAGCATAACTGGATATAAATATCAACAATCAAAAATCAGTAACATTCTGAGGATTTAGCTCAGTGATATAAGTGCCTGCCTTGAGTTCAATCCCCAGTACCCGCTCCCAAAACAGTAATGTTCCTATATGCAAATAGCAAACTCACTGAAAGAGAAATGAGGAAAGGAGACCTCTCACAATAGCCTCAAGGAAAATGAAATACTTAGGAATCAATCTAATTAAGGAAGTAAAAGACCTTTACATTGAAAACTATAGAACACTGCTGGACGTGGTTGTGCACACCTTTAGTCTCAGTCCTTGGGAGGGTGATGCAGAGAACTGCTGCAAATTTGAGGCCAGAATAGGCTACTTAGTAAGTTCCAGATCAGGCTGAACTATATAGCAAGACTTTGTTTTTCAACAAACAAACCAACACCCAGAAAACTACAGTACTCTGAAAAAGGAGATTGACAAGGATATCAGAACATGGAAGACCAGGGATATAGATCAGTGGCACAGTGGCAAACACAAGGTCCTGAGTTCCATTTCTGGTACAAAAAAAAAAAAAGAAAAGACAGTGGAAATATATTCCTTGTTTTTTGGTGGGTACAAGAAAATACAATGAAAATGCTCACTCTTCCAAAAATGTTATACATATCTAATGCAGTCTTGATCAAAATACAATAGCATACTGCACAGAACTAGAGAAAACTATCCTAAAATTTATATCGACCCAGATGAGACTTGCATGGCAAAAGCAATCTTGGGCAACAAAGGAAAGAGAGGTGGGGATCTCACAAAAATATCAGATACGCTGAATTTAAAGACCCAAAAATGGGCATCCAAAATGAATAAATATTCCTCTGGTGAAGAAGTAGAAATATCAAATAAATATATGAAAAAATGTTCCATATCACTCACCATTTGAGAGGTGAATATTAAAACAACACTGAGATTCCATCTCCATAAACAATAGTTGTTATCAAGAAATCAACCAACAACAAATTCTGATGGGGTTGTGGGAAAAAAGAAGGCTTCTATATTGTTGGTGGGAGTTTAAATTGGTACAACCAAATAGAAATCAGTGTGGATATTTCTAAAAAAAACCTAAAACTAGAGGTTCCTTTTGAACAAGTTACTCATTTTGGTATATTTCTTAAAGAGTTAAAAGCATCGCACACCATGATATATGCACACCTATGTTTATAGCAGCACAATATGAAATAGATACATCTTGGAATCAGCCCAAATGTCCATTAACTGATGAATGGATAAAATTGTGATCATTAAATACAATGGAATACTACTTAGCCATAAACAGGATAAAATCGAGACATTTCTAGCTAAATGGATGCATTTTGAGACCTGTTATGGTTTGTGTCTAGATGTACCCCCAAAGCCTCATGGTGCTGAAATCAAGTGCGTGTGATTAATAAATCAGTCCACTAATTGGTTTGGCATAGTTCTGGGTAGGCTTAAGGATGCTACACCTGCCCTAGGATGGGTAGCCTGCATGCACTATAAGGGACAGAAATAGGTTTACCCTTTTGCTATTTTTGGGCACCTTGAATTTGTTTCCTCTCTGATGGCCCTCTGCAAAGCTACCCTGCCTTGGAGCTACCTAATTATGGACTGAAACCTCTACAAACTGTGAGCCAAATAAATCTTTCCTCTCAACTTTGGATGTTGGATATTTTGTCTCAGCAATGAGAAAAGTAACTAAGACAAGACCATACTCTTAAAGTGAAATCAATTGGACACACATGTTTAAATATAGCATTGTTTCTCTGCTATATAAAAAGTAAGGACCAAGGTAAGTGACAGATACTGGGAAATAGAACAAAACATTCAAATGGGAAAGGGAACTAAAGAGGGGGAGGGTGAAGGGAAGGAAGGGAAAAGGGCAGAAAAAGAGAATAGATGGAAGATAATGAAACAACTTTTGTAAATAAGGAGGGAAGAAGACTGAAGGGAGGCAAATGGGGAGAAAAGCAAGATATATATATATATATAGGTACATTTTCTCTATGATGAATGTAATCATTGTATATATCAAAAGTGTGCCAACAATTAATTTAACAATAATATATATGTTATAGTTTAGTTCATTCTTCAGTTTTTATTACATAAACTATTTCCAGGGTATTTGTGGATTCTACTAATTGGAAGTAATCTGTCTTCTGAGGTTTTAACTGTTACAAATAGAGGTCAGTGCAGTTTTGTGTGATGCATATAAAGTAAAATTGAGATCAGTACATGTTTCTGTGATGCATATAAGATAAAATCATCGTGAAGAAAAATAATTTGTCATAGTAAAAGATTATTTAGAGTAGAATATGAAAAGTTCTTGTTTAGTATGAAAATTAGTAATCAGTATTCTTTTAATGTTTTTTTTTTTTGTGTGTGTTTTTCCAGATACTGACAATGTAAAGCCATTAGCAGGTGTAAAAATCCTGGATCTAACGAGGTTTGTTTTGGGTAATCTGCATTTTGGTGAATGGAAACTATCCTTATTTTCTGTGTTATACGGTATACATGTACAGATTGAAATTTTGGGGAAAAAGCATAAAAAGAAAACATTTCCTTGACTCTCATTATTCAAAGGGGTAAAATTACTGTAATATTTATGTATTTTTGTTAATCTATTTAGTTATACATAACTTTAAGAAACAAAATCTGGAACTATATTAAAATTAATTTTATCCCAATCTTAATCATACTATTGTATTTTTCATATTTTCCTGTGTTGTTCAAAATATCATTTTATTATATAAATGTCATAATTACATAACATCTTCCAAAATTTCACTTCTATAATTTAAGCTTCCCTGCATTTGAATTTTTATCTTATTTTCAGTTTCTCAGGATACTGTTTTAGAAATCAAATGACTGGATCAAAGAAGACATACTTTTTAAAGGCTCTGATATATAGGGCCAAATTACATTTTAATCAAGTTTGATGTTTACTAATATTATATGAACTTATCTATATTAATGGACTATCAAGAAAATAATACAAAACTTTTCAAAATTCTCATTTATTGTTGTTAACATTGTAGAGTACTGGCAGGACCTTTTGCTACTATGAATTTGGGAGATCTTGGAGCAGAAGTTATTAAAGTAGAAAGACCAGGTAAAAACCTATTGCTTCCTCTATAAAATAGAACCATGCTAATCAACATTTTAGTAATTTTTAAAATATCCATTTTAGAGTACTGATAAATTGGATGAAGAGATAATTGAAATGAAATGATTATTTTTTTCTCTTATTTTCCCCCTATGAACCTATAACAATGCTCTTTTTATAGATGCCAAGGACTAAGGCTCACGGCTTCTCATACATTTGAAAGCTTCTTTAAAACATATAACAATGGTGACAGTGATACTTATTAAAGTACCCTGGAAAGTTCTCAGCCTCATGATAATTTTAGTTTAATGCTTGAGTTAACCCTGCAGGCTGATGTTATTATTTTTAGTTTATAAATCGGAAAATGTAGGCACAGAAAGTAAAGCAACTTGTTCAAATCACACAGCTAAGAAGGCATATACATTTGCTCAGCTCTGATCCTGACCCTCCTTAACCCCACCCAAAACCTACTGTTGAGACTGACTAATGATGATGACTACCCTAGGACTATGACGTAAAGGGAATCAAGGAGAAATAGGATACAAAAGAAGGAGAGAAAGGAAAAGAATAGAAATCCTTCAAAAAGTATCCAAATACCACAAGCTAGGTTATTCTTTTCTATTTCTAATACAGGGACATTTTCTTATTTGTAGTTCTTTTTTTCATTTGTAGTGGTGAGGATTGAACCCAGGGGCTTCACAGGCAAGAGAAATAAATACTCTGCCCTGTGCTACATCCATAGCTCCCCTCTCCCATTTTACAATTTTAAAGATTTTGATGGGGGAAAATAAGTTTAGGTTGATTCTTTGTTTTTATATTTTTCATCCAGCCTCTTTCTAGTTCTTTTTGCCTCATTTGTCCAACAAATAAGTATGTTCTGCATACACAGTTCTCGCTTTTATTTGTTGTCTTCCTAGGATTTTGGTGGTTCGTCATGGTATTTATAAGGCTTCTTAGAAAAGTGTAAGAGGCTAGGGATTTAGCTCAGCGGCATAAGAACCTGCGTTGCAAGTAGGCAGTCGTAAGTTCGATCCCTGGTACCAATAAAAATGAGAAAGACAAAAAAAAAAAAAAAAAAAAAGAAAAGTGTCACTGTTATATGTCCTTTCTCTTCAAGCCTGTAAAAGGAATAATGTCTATTCTTTACTATGTCTTGTACATTAGCATGTAAATAATGTCTTAGTTACTTTTCTTTTGTTGCTGAGACAAAATACCCAGCACCCAAAATTAAAGGGGACAGGTTTATTTAGCTCACAGTTTGTGGAGGTTTCAATCCATAATCAGACAGTTCCAAGTCAGGGAGGCAAGGCAGAGGGGCAAAAGTTCATGGTAGCAAAAGACAGCAAATGCCACAGTTAAGAAGAGAGGAGCAAGTTTTTTCCATCCCTTATTCTATATGCAGGCTACCTGCCCAAGTACAAGTGTTATTACTTGCCACTCTCAAATCCAGCAGTAGCCAGTGAACCAGTCACAAACTCTAGTTTCAGTTGTCCCTGAAAATTTTGCCCCCATGACTGCATGAGACTTTGTGCAGACATCCAAATAATAACTTTCCATCCCTGGTCTTCCAAAGATTCACGCATATCCCTTTATGCAAAAGTCACTAGTCTGTCTCTAAGAGTTGCCAAGTTCCTGACAGTTTCAGCATTGGTGAGAAGTCTGAGTCCCACATCTCTGAGATTTAAGGCAAACTTTTAGCTGTGAGCCCCTGTACAAATGAAAAGATAGGTGAATACTTCCAACATTGAAAGATGCAAGATAGACATTTCCATTCCAAAGGTTACAAATAGGGATAAAAAGGAGTGAGACACAAACAAGCCCAAAATCTAACAAGAAAAGCATTAAGGCTTGTAGTTGCATGTGCAGCATCCAAGGTAATCTGTGGCAAGATGTGAACTCCAAAAGGTTTGGGTGGCTTTTGCACCTATAGCATGTCCAGTGATTATAGCTCCCATGATTTCTTTCTTCAGCCTACTTCCTTGAAGTTTTTTCTCAGACAATCCATGTTCTTGGACTTTCCAAACTGCTGGGGTCTCCAATATACTTTTGCAACTTTATGCATTGCCCTCTCAGGCCTCTGTGTGGCCTCCCAGACCTTTTCAAATCTAGTTGGAAGCCTTCATGACCCCATAATTCTTGCATTTTTCTATGTGTTTAAAATCAGCACTGTGTGGATTATGCTAAGGTCTGCTGTCAGGTGGAACAGTAGCCAGGCTTCCTTCTCTCTTGATTGTAGGGGCTGAGTACCTGGATTACTAGGTGCTCTGAATCCAATTCTGAGGAGCAAATTCTCTATGCTGCTGCCATTCTAGAACATGGTTCAGCAACTATTATTCTGGAATATGGTGTTCTGGGATATATTCTCAAAGCAAAGACTTTCACTTTTGCAATTTTGAGGCTGCAAAGGATGGAGTCTTGCTGCTTGTTAGGTTTTCAGATCATCTTTTGTATTTCTCTGTCTCTTGGCAATCTGGATTCCTCTTCTCTATCTTTATAGTCTATAGCTTAACTGGAACTTCCTTTCTGGCCAAATTTAAAACATTTCAAATCATTCTGTTGGGTTAAGTCCCCTAACAGTATGTAATCCACTGCCTCAACTTTAAACTGACTTGAAATTTCTTGTACAAGGTCAATCTACTGTCCTTAATCTGAGTCTCAGGCAAAGTATCTGGTTATGAGCAAAATGTAGACAAATTTTTTGCCAGACCATAACACATATCATCTGGAGTCCAACAGCTAATGCATTCTTTCTTCTTGGCAGAAAACTCTAAGCCTGTGTCTTTACCAGAAGGATTTCTATAAGCCTTCTGGGCTTCTTAACTCTGACCAAAATCTCCCACACAGAACAGCCTAAGGCATTCCAGCTCTATGTTTTCAGTCAGCATCTTCCAACCTTTTCAAACTCTTCCCACAAGCCATTCCCAACATCTCCTAAACCACATGGTTTGGTACAGTCACAGCAATGACCCCACTCCTGGTACCAAATTCTGTTTTAGTTACTTTTCTCCCATTGCTGAGACAAAATATCCAGCATGCAACAGTAAGGGGGAAAAGTTTATTTAGCTCACAGTTTGTGGAGGTTTTAATTTGTAATCAGCTTTCTCCAAGGGGGGGTGGTGTGGAAGAAAGGCAACACTTCATGGCAGAAGAAGGCACCAAAAGCAACAGCCAAAGAGTGGGGACAAGGGCTCTTCCCATCTCTTATATTGTATGCAGATACCTGCTTTAGTATGAGTGTAACACTCATACCCTCAATCCCCAGCACTATACAGTGAATCAGTCACAAACACTAGTTTCAGTTGACTCAGAAAACCTTACTCTTCATGAGTATATAAGACTTTGGGTAGACATCCAGATCTCCCAAATCACTTATTATAGAGGTTTCAAGAATAATACTAAGTTACTTTTTACTCCTCTTTGAGACAAAATACCTGACTCCCAAAGTTAAGAAAGAAAAGGTTTATTTCTTACAGTTCTTGAAGGTTTCAGTCCTTGCCTTTAGCAAGGCACAAACCACCAAGAGAAACATACACACTTCTCCTGCCATTACATCATATCCTGGTTCCACCCCTGGGCGGGTGAAACACTCACACCACCAATCCAAGTGCTAGACAACAAACCAATCACAAATGCTGGATTTGGCCTCATCCATAATTGCATGAGGCTTGGGGGCCACTGACATAAATCATGACAAATACTACCAGTAATTATTATTATGTATGTTTCAAAATCATATGTTTTGGATCTAAAACAGAATTCTCTGAATAGTCTAGCACTGAATAGTGTATATATATCTGTAAGACTCACAAGAGACTAATTTATAGTTACATCAACTTATTACTTTACCTTAAGTGGTAAAGTCTGTAAAGATTTTTAAAATTAAGTTTATTAGTACATTTTAAGCATACATACTGATCATATTCATCATAGGGAATTTGTACTGTATATGATATTTCTTGGATATTTTTTCCCTTCCCTTCCCCTTCCTTTAATCTGCTTCCTTTCCTTATTCACACATACTTTGTTTTTATTTTTCCTTTTCTTCTCTCTTTCTTCCTTTCCCACTCCTGCTCCCTAGTCGTCTTCTTATTTGAATATTTTGTTCCCATTTCACAATATCTGTTATACATTTTGGTCTTGACACTTTTGGTTTCTCACGTCAGAGAAACAATGTGATATTTCCATATGTGTTCAGTTTATTTCACGTAAGAGTACGATCTGAAGGTACATTATTTACCCAGAAATGTCTCAAGTTGATCCTCGTTTATGGTTGAGTAGTACTCCATTATATAAAAACTCCACATCTCCTTTACCCATTCATCAGTTGATTGGGCTGCTTCCAAGATTTAGCTATTACAAACTGTGCTGCTATAAACTATGATAGTGGCAGGCACACAGGGATGCGTTTGTCTGATTTTTTTGGTAGATAGTGGCTGCCTGAAGAAAGCAACGGTCTCCAATGGTGGCCTGTGAGTGCATAGATTTTACCTAGTTGTTTCCTTGCCCACACTGGCTGCCCATGGGAAGAAGCCTTCCGATCAAAATACCCTATTTTTGATGGTTTTACACTATCTCTTTGAAACAAAACCTAGAAGTCTAAAATTTTATTCTAAAGGAGTATTTTAAATTATTGTCATTTGCTATTTAGTAACTTCTTTTACCGTTTCTGATTGTTACAGAAATATTTTATAGGTTTATTTATCACTTTTTAAAACATACACCCAAATACTACTTTATGATAAAGACTCACATATTTCTTCTGATTTAAATTATATTCACTAAGATTGTTTTGTAGACTCCACATAGTCTTTGAACATTGAATACCATGGAACCATGAAAGAATTGACCAAAAAAAAAAAAAAAAAAAAAAAGAGCTGACTTGCTTTCCAAAAACAAAAGTAATTTTCCCTCCTGAAGTTTGCTGTTTCTCCTCTAAAGTTTGCTATTTGTTAAATATAAAAGCTGTTGATAGGATATTTCCTTCTGTATTTTGATTTTCAACAATGATACTGAAAGTGGATACAGAAAGATCTAATGGATAACACAAAAAGGTAAAAAGCTTGGCAGTTCCAAGGAGCTCCTATAGGCCCACCCATGAGCAGAGTTGAGGCTTCCACAGGGGTGATCTGATCTTGTTCAGGCACCTGTGCAACAGGATTTGAAATGATTCATGGTGTTTTGGAGCTAAAGTGTAATAAAACACATTGTTATTTTCAGGAGTTGGTGATGACACACGAAGTTGGGGGCCACCTTTTGTGGGCACAGAAAGTACATACTTTCTCAGTGTTAACCGAAATAAGAAAGTAAGGCTATCATCTTTCGTTGTTGCTTTATTTGTGTAATTCTCTTGTAATAACAAAGCATTTGATATCATCATGGCCTTTTGTAGCTATAATCAATACTTCAAATGTGATGAAATTTTATTCATTTCCCAGATATTAAATAGAAACAGTAAAGTTTTTTTTAACTAATCTTCCTTTTCTACTAAGTAATTTAAAACATTTCATGAGAATTTATAATAGAAATTTTATAAAAGAGAAATCATTTGATTCTTTACATTTGTCATTAAAGGATTCTAAGTGCCTAATACTTGGTGTTATTGTTGTAAATTGGTGTTATTGTTACTATAGTTTTAGATATTATCCTAACACATCCTAATTATAAATAAAATCAGTAAAAACATTTAAGTATTTCTTTATGGGGAAAATTAATTTTCTATAAGATGTGAATCTATATGAATGGCTTTCTTGTTGAACTGTCAGTAATAAATGCCTTTATAATAATATTTTACTGTATATATTTTGATTTTTAGAGTATAGCTGTTAATATCAAGGATCCAAAAGGGATGAAAATCATCAAAGAGGTACAGTATTCTCTGGCGAAGTCAACTTACATCCTAGGTTATAATTTGGGTAAAAATGTTTTAAAACTTTATTTCATTGACAATCTGTACTTTGCTGTAAATGGTATTTAAGAATATAAGTTGACACTTTTCATAAGCATAATGTACTTTATTACTGCTTGTGTATTGTGTACAATTATAGTCCTTGCTACCACTAATTGTGTGCCTTTTGAATCAGATCTTGTGCTTGGGCACTTTACTTACATTGACTTCTCTAAGCCTCAGAATTTGCCTTGTAAATGAAGTATTTAGAATCCTTAATTTCATGAAAGTAATTTGAATCTTGTACGGTCTAAGTGATGCCCCAAAAGTCTAGCATACTAACTAATGTTAAATTAAATTAAATTTAGCCTAAATCTATCTCTCTGTATAGCACACTGCAATCTAATTTAGTACATAAGCCAAATATGAACTAATTTGAGTATATTCTTGTGACAAACAGTGATGTTTCAGTCCATCATAGCAGCTAAGTGATCAGATCATGTCCCTGTAGACAAATGTCAAACTCTAACTAATCAAGCTAATTACAGATGTTACTTATTTTGTTGTTGTTTAGAAACTTGTTGCCAATCTTGTTTGATCAAGATCTCTTAATCTTTCCTGATTCTGAGAATTTCCCAATACACAAATCATACTTTCCTCAAATAAACTGTGCTACATTTAGTTTATCTAAATTTTAAAGCTGATATTTGAATCCCAGGTCACACCACTAGAGAGCTCAAGCTGTCTTTGAATGTTTATCCAGGTGTCTTGACCTGGTACCATGTTTTTCTTTGAGGGACATGAAGTTTAAATCCTGTTCCTGTATTTGTTAGCTGTGTAACTTCAGGAAGATTACTTAGCTTTTTAGTACCTCAGTAAACTGTGGATGATATCAGTACGTTTTTTTCCCTAGGTTTGTTGATAAAAATTGCTTTAATATAAAATGTGTTGAAGGATGCCTGCCACGGATCACCACTGATTAAGTATTTTTTTATTATCATTATGCATATGAAGTTGGTTTCATCATATGAGATAAAATTTGTTACCCAGGTTAAATGTTATAATCCCCTATAGTGGACAGATACTTATTTGATTAAAGAACCAACTCTGAAATTTAAAATTTTTGATTTTTTAGTTAAGCATCAACATGAGCTTTGTTGGCTTTCTAATGCTTTCTTATCTATCTAGATGATTGAAAGTTAATTTCTTTTAATTTTTAAGGTCAGAATTAATGGCCAACTTCTCTAGTTCTTCAGGATTAATCCAACCAATTTAGAATGTTTGAGTTTTAGTTCCAAAGCTTGAAAACTGTACTGGTTGTGCTTTATCTTTTCTTTAGCATTATTTAGGGTTGTCTTTGTCTTTTATTCCCCGAGGTGATACTTGTTTTATTTTTCTAAACCATTCTCCAGTGTGGTTGACCTCTCCAGTTTTCTATCATAGCTATCCTCACCATCTTCAGTCTTATACCCTTTTAAAAAATATTATCTTCAGTTATTATCATAATCATTATAATTATTGTCTAGAATATTGTTCTTTTCTCTCTCTTTTTTCTTTTCTCAATACTTCTCTTTCTATTCTGTTTCCTCCTTAGTGCACCTTTTGTGTTCACACTCCTGCTTGTTTGCTTGTGTTTAAGAACATCCTGATATTTTATCCTGGGTAGTTAAGATTTCAGATATGATTGCACAATTACTCTATGTTTTCTGGAGGGTTTCTCAGTGGGGCAATGTTAGGTGGAATTCATGATTGTTACTAGTAAGACATCAGTGTGTATATGACTATTGTAGGCCTATGTGTGTAATTCTGCCAAAATGTATGATTTGCTGGTACTTTCCACTTTGTTGGGATCCTGCCAGCATCCCCTACCACATTTTGACAATTTGAAGTTTTACTATAGGCTTTATTTCTCCTTAAGTCTTTATTGATAACACAGAAGTGTATTTCAACTCATATTAAACTCGAACAAATTATTTGGGGATATTATTTGTGTATATGAATTTTAGCTAGTTATGTCATCCATAAGTTATGTATCTTACTGCCTAAAAGAAAAATTACCTTTTGTTTAGTTTTGCATTCTTTCTGGCATGGATTTTTCATTTGGTTTCAGGAGTAGCAAAGCCAACCTCTGCATTCAGAGCATAGTGACCATGATACTCAATATAAGGTGTCCAGTTTTCAGAAATGGTTCCTAAGTATTATGCAAAGTAATTAGCTGGATACATATGAAGTCCAAAAAGTGTGACTCCTTTGTCAACAGGGCAAATTAAAATTAGGCTTTAGTACAAGAAAAAAAAATCTGCTTAGAAAATCTATGTCAGTGCTTGATATTTTCATGGCAATATGATTTGATTGCTTTCAAGTATATCATCCTATATTTCTAATAATTCCGATGTTAATCGGAGGATAGTCACAATATCCCGATTATAGGTATACGTTATAGTGAGTGGAGCATGTAATACATGAGCATATAAAAATCATAAATTTTGTTTTCCTCCAACATTTTATATGAAAATTTAAAATATGCAGTAAAATTAAAAGAATAATGAACTTTATTCACCATGCAATTTTAGCATTTTGCTATATTTGCCTGTTTACATATGTGTGTATGTGTATAGGCTAAGTATGTGTGCATCTGAACTATTTAAAATTAAGTAGAAAATATTATCAAACTTTGCTCTTGAATTATTCAGAATACTCTTCCTATGAATAAGGACATAATATTTTAAAAACTTATTTTATAGATGACATGAAAGTAGAAGAGACTACTAGGGAATGGGAAGGGAGCTGGGGGAGGTGGAAGAAAAAAGTAGGAGAAGGGTATGGAAGAGAGGGTAGATATGACCGATGCATCAGCGTGACCTTTCTGACCTACAGAAAGGTCACAGTAGAACCTATAGATTCAAATATGACTTATGATTACTTGTAAATGAGGTTAAATTAGTATCTTTTTTGATGGTGGTGTTAGGGATAAAATGTGGGGCCTTGTGCATGCAAGGCAGGAGCTCTACCACTGAGCCATATCCTAGCCAGATTAGTATTGTTTTTTTTTTTTTTTTTGTCTTTTTCGTTTTTATCAGTACCAGGGATCGAACTCATGACTGCCTGCTTGCAAGGCAGGCGCTTATACTGCTGAGCTAAATCCCCAACCCCTAGTATCATTTCTTATCCTTACTTCTCATCTTGCTGATATAGTCCATTTCTAAATTATATCTAGAGAAAGGCTCATGATTAGCCTAACTTATTTTAGATCTTATTTCTGATTTATTTTAGATCTTATTTGCTGTGTAACAAGAAGGAAGACTTTCTCTTTCTAAAAGAAAGAGATGGGGGTCCATAATTCATACAAAATTGTACTTACTTTTATTCTGGGAACGATTTTAGAATAGACTAGTGGGTGATCTGTGAGCACATTAATAAAGAGAGGTGATCACTAGTAATTAAAAACAAATGTTTTCTTCTCTTACTTTAGTAGAACTTTTTAGTATTAAAGAAATGCAGTAAGTATTTAGTTTCCACCAAAGAAGTTGGTTGTATGCTACTTGTAGTCAGTGTGGGTAATGGTGGTGTCACAGCAGCTAGTGTCCTAATTTACACATGTATATTCATTCAGGGAGAATTTTCTGATGTCTTGAATCTTAGTACTATTCTGTTTAGAATTTTATGGATGACTTAAAGCTATAGGAAACACACATGATTTAGGAGTGATATCCTGGAAAAGAGAGACAAACAATATTGGGTGACAGATTCACTAAGCATCACTGTGTCATAAATGGTTAGTGTATATTTATTTACATAAAATAAATAGGGAAAAGTGATTTCTTTCATATTCTCTCATCTAGGGATATTTTAGCTATATATATACTACAAGAAGAAGTAATAATTCTTGGATAATCATAAACAAATAGTAAGCACCTTTTTGATGGAAATATGTAGCTTCCAAATTTGACTTTTCCACATTTTTCTTAAAACACTATATAAACAGATTATACAGTTCAGTCTGAGCACAGCTTTTCTTACTTTTGAAGGTTGCATTAGGGATAAATATTTGTTCATGGGTGTATTAGGGATAAATATTTGTTCATGGGTGTATTAATCAGCTTTCCATTACTATAACAAATATGTGATGTAATTAGCTTATGAAGAGAAAAGGTTTACTTTGGCTCATAGTTTTAGAAGGTTCAGTCTATGATCTATTGGATGTGTTGCTCTGGGTAAGGAGGCACATCATGGTGGGAGTACATGGTGAGAAAACTGCTTACCTCCTGCCTAGAAAGTAAAAGAAAGGGAGAAAAATGGACTGGGTTGTACTATCCCTTTTTGGGGCCTGCCTCCAATGACCTAAAGACCTCCTACTAGGCGCTGTCCTTTACAGGATCCACCACTTCCTGACAGTACCTGCCTCCCTGGGTACTGAGTCTTCCAATACGTAGATGTCTGAAGGATGCTTAAGATCCTACCTATAGCAACGGGCAAAAAGTAATATTTTCATATATCATGTCAAACTCTCTCTTATACCCTTATGTTCTTATTTACCCCCCACATATCAGAAAATACCATATGTATTATTTGTTATAATCCACTAATACTTATCCTCCAGTTCTACAAGCAGTGCTTGGTATATTTTAATAATAAATTGATGCTTGTCTATTGAGACTTGCTGTGGAGTGTATTGCATGGACCATTGACCATAGGAAAAGCAACCCAATTGCTAATTGGCTTTTGCAATTTGGAAGGATTTCTGTATTGCTTGAGATTTGAAGCTTTTCTGTCTTTGCTATTGTATGGATATGGTGTGAGTGTATCCCTGGTGGTTCATGTGTTGGAAGTCTGGTCCTCAGTGTGTGGACATGTTGGGAGTTGGTGGAACCTTTAAGAGGTCAGCCAAGTGGAAGCTGATTAGGTTATTAGGATGCAACCCTCAGAAGGCATTGTGATAGTTCTCGTGGATCCCAGCTGTTCTCATTGCAGTGTGTTGTTACAAAAGAGCAAACCTGACTTTCTGTCTGCTTTTCGGCTTCCTGATTCACTGTGTGATTCTTCTCACACATATTTCTGCCATTGTGATACTATCTGTTAGGACGTCTTCACCAGAGCACAGCCAATGCTGGTGTTATGCCCTTAAACCTCTAAAATCGTGAGGTATACAAACTTTTTAATGCAGTTCTAGGGCTCAAACCCAGGGCTTCACATATGCTATACAAACTCTCTACCACTGAGCCACAGTTTCAGTACTAAACCTCTTTTTTTCTATGCATTACTGAACCGCAGATGTTTTCTTATAGCAACAAGAAATGGACTGATACACTTTCTTCTTTCTTGTTTTTTTCCCTTTGGTGTGTGTGTGTGTGTGTGTGTGTGTGTGTGTGTGTGTGTGTGTGTGTTTGTGTGTGTGTTCTTGAGGATTGAAACCAGGGCCTTCTACTATTTCTTAATGTTTTTCATGCTTTCCTGAGAAGTGGTCACCAGGGGTTCTAGTGCCTGTATGTTAAGAGTGCTGGTGGATGACCATTTCTTTCCTTGATATGCTTCCTAAGAGCCACCCTGTGTCAATTTTGTTGTCAAATAATTCTATATATCTGTTCCACATGTAGTGACACAATAACAGACACTTGATTTATTTAGAAGTCGATAGCTAAAGCTCATATTAATTCAACCATTTCCATTTAGAGTGGAGGTTGGCAGACTGTGTAATCCAAGTCAGGCTTGATTTTGTACAGTCTATAGATTAGGATTGAGTTTTACATTTTTAAAGATTGTTAAAGAAAAACAAAGCAAAATATGTGACAGAGAATATATGTGGCATAAAGTATTGTTGAGAGTCTTAGTCTATTAGTTTGTATGCATGTGAATATTTCTAACTCCATGTCAATAGAAAATTATTTTGCAGGGAGTTGATATCAAATTTAGGGCCTGTGCATGCTAGGCAAGCATTCTGAGTCATGTCACTTGCCCTAAAAAATTATTGAATAGCGATTAGGCACTGAATCTATTAAAAATTTACCATGATGGATTTCTCTGGGTGACCTAGTATAATTTTTGTTATGACTTTAAAAAGTTTTAAAAGGTATGTTGTGACATTTAAGATTTTAAAAAAATGAAGATTAATAGTAATTCATTGTCCCCTAATTTCTATGGTGTTGTTCTGGCAATCAAGATCTGAGTCTTGTTTTTGTTAATTTCTAGTTCTGTGGGCATGATTTTGAGTTTGAAAAAAAAAACGCCAAATACCTCATTAGAAGTATTTAAAACTCTTTGGAAGGAACACACCCTAAAAGCATGAAGCATTTTCAGAATCACGGTTACATATGTTAAGTGCGTGTTGTAATGAGGAGTATCATAATAAGGACGGGGTGTAATGATGACACAGTGTAGATACTTTGTAAAGGTTTCAAAAGATGTTTTCCTATGTTTTATGTACTTACATTTTAATTTCATACATATCCCTTTGAGAACAGATTTGGCCAGGCATATAGCCTAAAAATTTCTCATATCCAGAGGAAGAAGAATCTATTGTACCATTTTTAATGTCAAATTAAGTAGCCAATGTTGTAATGGGAGTAATATACCAGGTAATTAGTCCAGGCTTTTATATTTATCTAAATCTACTTCATTTCTCCTGTAATTTTTCTTAACTGTCACAAAGTGTGAATCAATTGTGTTTACTGAAATTAAAATTCTGCCATGTGTGAAAGTTGTTGAAGGTTGTGAAGTCCCTTCAGAAGTCTGACTCATCTTTGCCTCTGCCTTCAGCTTGCAGTTGTTTGTGATGTATTTGTGGAAAACTATGTTCCTGGCAAACTGTCTGCCATGGGTCTGGGATATGAAGATATAGACAAGATCGCTCCTCATATCGTCTATTGCTCCATCACAGGTATTTCGATTCCATACCCAGCTAAGCGAGTAGGAATTCCAGGGCCTGCATTCTCTTGCTTCTGTAAGAAACCTTTTTCCAGTGTTAGCTTTCTTGATGTAATTGTCTTTTCCCTTTTTCTAAGCCATGTAGAGTGGAAAACATTAGATATTAGGGAATGTTAACCTATATGGACATGTTCATAAATGTTCATTGACTCCTGTATTTCTTCTTTGAATTGTCTATAATTATACTAGTGTTCTATATTGATGACTTACAAATATTTGCAAAATACCATTATTAATATGGATAAATTACAGGTGAAACATTAATTGACTTTAAGATAACATAGAAGTTCAATTTGTCTTCTTGATATATTTGCAAGTACCAAGCCAAGGAAAGGAAAAGAACGCTATAAAGTCTTCTGAGTGCTCACCCTTACCAGTGACTCTTGTGGGATGTATGAGTATGTGGCTGTGTTTTTAGGTTACTGGAGAAAAGTCATATGTTACTCAGTTTTACATGTTTTATAAGTAGTTACTGATTTATTAGGATGCAATACTCAAAGGTGACTTTTACTTAAAATAGAAAATCATATTAATAGTTTGTCAAGAAAAATCCATAATATTTTTAGTTTTTATTGATTCATCTTGCAAAGGTCTACTTCTGATCTATTGTCTGCCAGGCATTAGTTGGTTGCAGTAGTGAATAAAACACACCTGTTAACTCCAGGAGATTTGTTTTATAGGTTATAGTCATTGAGTCTAGAAGAGATAAGAATTAAAGATAAAAATAAAGTTGGGCAAATACGAATTATTTAATACTGGGAGTTGAGATACAGTTTCATTGTGAAGATAAAATCTGAGCAGAGATTTGAATGAAGTAAAAGAATGAGCCATACAGGTGCTGGCCAAGAGGATTTCAGAAGGATGAACACAGAGTGCAAAGAACCTGCATTAAGAATGCTCTGGGCATGTCTGAGGACCAGCAATGCCAGTGTGGCTGCAGCAGAATGAACAAAGTAACAGGGAGAAAATTAGGGAGATGTAGATTAGCAAGATCACACAAACCTGCGGGCTGCTTTTACTCTTAAGTAGGATTATAAGCTAATGAAGGATTTTGAACAGAAACATGATATGATCTGACATTTTTAAAAAAGGATCTCCATAGCCTTGTGTTGTGTTGAGATTGGACTATTGACTCTTCAGTGCAGAGGACAAAGGTGGAAACAGAAGCACAGTTATGAAGCTGTTGAAATTTTCCAGATTGGACATGGTGGCTCCTTGAGTTACAGCAGTATATATGCAGGCAGTTGGAGAGTGGTGAATTCTGAATGTTTTCCAAGTAAAGTACATAGGATTTGCAGATGGATTACAGATGAGCATCTGTGAAAGAATGGTTAAAGATGTTGCTTTGAGTTTTGCCCGGGCAATTAGAAGAACAGAATTACTATTTCCTGAGATGAGAAATACTAGAGAGGAGATTTTTGGAGTGTAAATATCAAGAGTCAGATTTTGGACTTGTCTTGCTTGAGTTGCCTATTCAAGTGGAGAAGTAGAAAAAAAGGATTGAAACCAAGAGTTAAGAGTTCATAGGAGCCTGGAAAATTAGGAGTAATTATGAAGCCTGGGTGAGGGCATTCAAGAGTGAGTACTGACAGAAAAGGAGATTTAATCAGGCCAAGTCCCATGCTCTGCAGTGACAGATGTTTGGGTGATAACTAAGATACAGAGAAGGAAATTGAAGAAGAATTGTCATTGAATTAGGATGAAAACCTAGAAGCCAAGTGCACAATTCCTTATTTTCAAAGACAGCATAATGTTAAAACCGTTAAGGGTGTATCCTCAAAGGCAAAAAGCATGCTTGTATTTTGTAAATTTTCTCTCACTTCCTAGCCATGGTACGTGTCTCCATTGCTGGGAACATGGTTTTCCTGCCACCTCTGTTTGCACTGTCATTTCCCTTTAGAGCTCAGTGTGGATGTCATTACTGCTCAAACCCAGAAGACTGGGTTGAGTGTTTTGGCTAGCAGAGCAGATGGGAGGGTTCAGCAAGAGTTTCTTGAATATTGATTCAAGACTGTGTAATCAGAACTTGACTAAAGAATTTTAAATAGCTGCCAATTTCTTGCATTCCACTTTTCATAGATAAAGATCAGCGGTAAAGTTTATGCTTGTATTTTCCAAAGAAACTGCTACAGGATATCACGCAGTGAGTGCAAACTTGGCCTAATTTGTTATTTCTTCCACAGCTTATCCATATCACTATATAATGATCGTTGCTTAAAGGTCGTAAAAGACCTTGTACTATGAAGCAAGTATTCAATTATTGTCATAGATCACTGTATCTTGGGTCTTTTCCCAAGGCAGGGAGATGAACTTGTACATTTACAAAGATTGAAAAAGGAACTAAGAAAAAAACCTTTACCTCTTATGTTTCAGTAACTTTATTTTATAATAGATACTTGAAAATCTTGCTTTGCTGCCAAAAGCTATAAAATATGTTGTTAAAATATTTATTAATCATAAAATAATAATGAAAATGTTCCTGTTCCTGTATATTCAGGCTAATTGAGATATTTGAATACTTTATTTTTTATGGTGTAATATTTTGTGATAGTTATCTTCATAAATTGAGGTGAAGGGCAATGTTTGCCTGACATTTTAGATAGGATGAAAATCTGTACTGGTCATTAACCTCTTTACTGGATAACATTTACAGACACATTCTCTACATGGAAGATAACTGTCTCTGATTCTTTTTAGATATACTGTTTTATAGATCTGAAAACGTAGCTTTATTTTTGCTTGTATAATCAGTATTTATACATGACAGGAGAGATTTTTTTAATTAGAATCCCAAATCCAACAGAAACACTGAGATCTAAAATATTCATATAGGTAAATTATTATTTTATGAAATACTCTATTATCATAATATGCTGTATACAAATATGAACATCTTATATGAAAAGAAGTATTTATTTCTCTTTCTTATGTTGATGGTCAATTGAGATTCAGCTCATATAGAATTGTTAGATTTGGCTCAAAATTGTGGGTTGGGAGCCCAGTTGGATCATATGGTTTTTAGCACCTCTCATTATTCTGTTATTCTTTCCATTCCCAAATCCTGACAGTCCTTAGAATGACAGCCATGCTATACAGTTCACTCTTAAGTAATTCCTGATAAGGAAACAGGTCCAGAAGTTTTAAGATACCTAAGGTCACATGGCTAAAATAACAGATGGGCTTTAACTCAGCCTTTTTGACTTAATATTAAATGTCTCAGTGCTTTTCATTGTTAGGCTTTTTGTTAAGTGCTGACATAGGTTCTGTGATTATAAGACAATGAACAGCTCTACTTGAAAATTATTTTTATCTTTCCCTTCATTTACTGTTAATCATATTTGCAGTTGTGGAAGTCATGAACACATTCATTAGTCAGGGAGACTAAATTTCAGCAGATCCTTTTGTAAGGAAAAGTCATTTATGAGTCATGAGTTTATATGGCTAGAAAGCAAAGTTCATCTCTTGTAGAAGTTTGGTGTTCTTGGTAACCAGTGTTTACTTTTTATTTTGTATTAAGACTGATTATATCTGTCTTAAGTTGCACGTGTCATGATTGGTATCCTAGACTTTCCTGATGTTTCTCAGTGATACTGTTATCTTGCAAGTGCTTTCCAAGCCCACATCGCCTGTTCTCACTCATCTGTCAGCCTTATTGCTAATGAATGTAATCCTAGAATGGCTGAGAGATTTACTTTCATGCCAATTTTGTGGTTGAAATCGCCTCAGTCTATGAAATCTGGTCTACAACACAAAAATGCTAAACTTGATCTCAAGGGAGGAAGGACCTGATTATTTTTTTAATTTCAGTCCTCTTCTCATTTCAGAGGAAGCTGAGTGTGCACATTAGAGGGCAGTGTTTAAGAAGCTGTTATTCACTAGGAATTACTTTTTGAGCAAAGTTTCCTGTGAACCACTAGATACAGAGACTCTTTGAAGGGGTATGTTCATATTGTTTAGGAAGGCTACTTTTTCCCCTTACATGACCCCATACATACCTTTCTATATATTTTAATTTTTTTAAATGGCAATTTTTGACCACATTTTTTAATTTTTAAAATGTTTATTGGTCTTTGTTTTCAGTACACAATGATTACATTCATTATAGGGATTGGTATACGTACGTAAAACATCTTTATTCTTTTTACTTTCTCCTTCCTCCCTCCTTCCATCTTTTGGTTCTTTTCACATTGCGAAAGATCTATCTCCCTGAGTACTTTAGAAGATGTAATGGTACTTCCGCTAACAATTTAATTTTCAGTTGTATTTTTTTCTTTTGTGTCTTCTGAGCATGTGCATAATTGTGAAAATTTAGCAGTAAGAATCCTCTCTACCATATTTAAAAACATTTGTTCTTTTTATTCTGTCATTGCTCTTTCTTTCTGGAAGGATAAACATTATATTATAGTACTGTTGATTAAGTTTGTGGTTGGAACATTTTGTATGTTCTTTAATAAAATTTCCTGGTTTTATTTAAGGAAAGGGGTTTGAAAAATGCTGTTTTGGTTTTTGCTAATTCCTCAATGACATTGGAATCTCTGACCTTGTATGCACAGAGTGCAGGATTCCTCTTGGGGGTAGAGCTTTGTGAGGGGCAGGACCCAATTCAGAGAGAATTTTTGATAGAGGTAAACCCACTCTTTAGATCTAAATAGAAAAATTCTGAGAATACTTATGAAACAAAATAATAGCATGTGTTAGTTAAAACAAACAGACAAGAATAGCAGAGACAGTTTGTACGAACATGGTATATAAATGTACCCTGTTAGACATTAAATCATTGTATAACAATAGTTATTCAGACAGTGTGGTTTTGGCAGAAGGAAACTGATATAGAACAATGTGCTAGAATAGGGAGCTTAAAATCAGACCGGTATATATATATATAGAAATAGTTTTGGGTTTGAACTATACTAATAGATAATTAAAAATGGAGTGTGAGAAAATAATGGTGGA